AATTTTGCTTTTGTACACATGTCCAACTCTGACGAGGCCATGGATGCCATCAAGGGACTGGACAACACAGAATTTCAAGGTAAGAGAGATTACCAACATTATAAGGAGGTCAAGAAGAAACCTTAAAGTGTTGCCTTATTATAAACCAGCCCACATAACCTGTGTTTTTACTTTTTATTTTTTAATGTAGGCAAACGCATCCATGTCCAGATTTCCAAGAGTCGTCCCAGACACGAAGAACGGGATGATTACCCCCCTCCTCCCCCAGACAGGGGTGGCTATTGGCCCCCACGCTATCCAGGAGAGTGGCCCGAGCCTCCTCCACCTGGCTACATGAGGGGTCGTCTTAGCCACATACCCCCAGGTTACCCCGCCCCTCCTCTGCCTCCCCCTCCCCCTAGACGAGCAGTTTATCCAGATCGCCCTTACGATGCTGAGAGGGACAGATATGGCGTGGTAGATTACTATGAGAAGTATCGAGCCCGTCCGTATGGCATGGCCACCTACGACGACCAGCGTCCCGGCGTGCCTCCTCCTCCCCCTCCCCCGTCAGCCGTCGTCCGAGACCGTCTTCCGAACTCGTCGCTCGACCCATACGAGCGTCGGCCCCTTCCTCCACCTCCTCCGTCCTCATACTACGCCCGAGATCGAAGTCCGCTTAGGAGACCGCCTACCACACCAGTGCCCCCTGCCAGTAACGGCTACTCCTATGATCGCTCTGCATACGGAGTTCCACGTGCAAGGGACCCCTACGCAGATCGGCTGCCTCCGCCACCGCCTGCACGCTACGCTTATTAAGCAAGGGCGGCGCATTTTGAAGGTGAGGATAGGTCTGAGGTAGACTGGTGTTGCTCTTTCCTAAAACAGCGTTCCTGTAACGGCAGAGGCAGCCGGGGATTTGAAAAGCATGCGTACAAGGTGCTGTTCCACAAGTAAATTCGTTGGTAATGCACGTCGATCCATTTAACTGGCTTTTCAGATAATAAAATAGTATTAAGTGTGTTATAATACGACAAAGATGCACTGTTGAGGATGGACTCTCTGAATTTCGGGAAAAACAAGTCGAATTAGAAATTATCGTGGAACAACGTCCTGTATTCAAGAGTTGCAGATCGTTCATTTCTGTCATTTGCTCTTTTTTTCAGGATTGTCGTCCGACTGCGTCGCCGCTCGGCGCCTCCTGATGCACGTGACTCTATCCTCTCCCTGTCAGTGGCTGAGCGCGTAACGTTCCCCTGCGATGCTGACAGGAGGAACCGAATAGCCGACGTCCACGTCTCTTTCTGTTTTTATTACTTTGAGGCAATTTTTACACTCGTATTTTTCCTCCTGGTTGTTTTAATATGTAATTGTGCTGTAGTACTTTTACTGCTTGCCGTCTGGAGTAGGTGTTTATTTTTTATTTTATTTTTTTTGTACTTTTTTCGTTTGAGTAATACTGATGTTGTTTGTGACCTTAGAGAAGCTGAATGAGTTCAGCAACAGTTTCTAGGCGATACTTGTGACTGTAGATTTAACTGAACTTAACTTTGTTTGGTATAAAATCTAATCTGCACGTTGACTCCATCATGTAAAACTTTTACACCGCACAACAAACCGCTGTGAAAAACTTAAACTGCTCAAATGTAGGAGTTCGATGCATGCAGGAAGTAACTGTTAACTTACAGAAAATAAATGTCAGTCGGAAGTCTCCTCAGAGCGTTTATATGTGCATTGTCAAACACTTCTAATTAACCTGATTCAAATATTGTTGTAGGGTCACCGGAAAATATCATTATTTTAAAAGTTATCCGTTTGTTAGCGATGAAATACCGTGAGACAAGCTTGTTAAAATCGTCACGCTGATTAAAAAAAAACACGCCCAAACTTTCCTCACTGGTCTTGTCTGAAATGCTGCAGCTTTTATTCCTCAGCAGGGCGTCTGACGTCTTTCCTCAGTGCCAAAGTTGAAGGCAAGTAAAGAAAA